TTGGTGTTGCTTGGGATTGAACGTGCCTGGTGGAAGGGGCTTTGCGTGTGGTGGGTTTCACGTGTCGCGTGGAGGTTGAGCGCCTGGAAATCGACTGTGCGGCGGGGCTTGCCATTCTTTTTAGCACATACAACCATGCGGAGGCACCAGGTGACGGGTTCTCCTACTGGCACTGGTTCGAGGACACCCAGTGAGACGTCCTGATCGAGTCCTGCCTTGACCTCCTCTTGCCAGTGAAGTGGCACTGGTATGGGGTTGTGGTGTGCGACTGGTTTCGCTTGGGGGTCAACCATTAGCCTCATAGGGATGCTCTCCATTAGGGGTAGCGGCTGGTGCTCGCATGTATTGAAGGTGCTGGTTCGGTAGTAGTCCAGCAGCCACTGTTGCATCCTCATCCGACTGTTCTCTGTTGCTGGGAAAGGGGTGGTTGTGGGCTTCGGTGGCGGTGTGATGCGACGCTGGCAGGTGCATGGGGGCTGTCTGAGCCCTCAGAAGTTTGCATATCTCTGTCTGACGGGGTTGGTGCAGTTGCATTGCAGGCTGTGTCTGGCTCGATTGAGCTGCATGTGTTTAGGGTCTCCCCCAACATGGGGAAGTTCTTAGTGATAATGCCCAGTGCCATGCATGTCTCTCGGCTGAGGAAAAGTTTGTCTGAGTCGCTTGTCACGTATACGATCTGTCGGCTTTCCAGGGCTTTTCCGGATGGAGACCTGCCCGAGAACCTTAAGATGACTGCGCCCAGGATGCTGATCCCTTTGTTGTTCACAGCGTGCATTTTCATAGTGACGGGTATCAGGTCACTCTCACAGAGGCCCAGGCGACGGATGACTTTTATGCTAGCCAAGCAGCTCTGGCAGCCTGTGTCAGCCATAGCAGAGAGTTGTGCTGTTGCCAACTGTGATTTGGGTGGGTTGTATCCAAGGGCTGTGTAGTCTTCAGGATGGGCTGTCGCTGTAAGCGTTATGAACGGTTGAGGCTTGGATGGCTGTCGAACCCAGTGATCGGTTAGGTGGCAGTAGAGATGAGAGTGAGATGACTCCTTTGCTTGGCCTGCTGAGGCTAGTTGTGGTGCAAAGTGAGTCAAAAATTGCGCTTTCCGTTTCTCTGCTCTTGCCAATGGGTGTCGGCGGCTGTTGGGGCCTGTTGCTTTTGCCCCTGCTGCGGCAAACGCTGGCAAAGTGGTTCTGCCGTCCACACTTGTCGCAGATGGTGCCATAAGCTGGGCAGTCATGACGGCGGATTCTGGTTGGCGCGCTCTTGCCATGCCCTCTCTTGTTGCAATAAGAGCACAGTTCGTTCGCGTCCCCATCCTTACGTTGCTTGACCTCATCATTTTTGGCACGACGATACTGACTTTGTGTGGCGTCTGTACTGTGGCTTTGTGACAGGCGGCCTGCTGACCGTTTGCCGGCCTCTTTTGCCTCAATGAATTGGAACACCTTTTCAAGGCTCATGTCTTGGTTTCGTTCCCCCAACAGGTCTAATTGGATTTCGCTGTCAGCCAGGCCACGTGTGAGGACATCGCGAAGGACGTTTTCCGTATAGTTGACCTCTATGTTGCAGCCAGGGCAAGTGACTAAAAACTTGCAAACACCAGCTTGGCCGCCGGCGGCACCAAAACTACGGATCGTCTCATCCCGGTCTTGCCGCATGTTGTGTAGCTGCACACGGGCGACCATTGCGTTCTCTTCCCGTACTGCAAGCTTTTTTATGGCTGCCATGACCTCATCTGCGGTTTTGTCGGTGAGGGAACCGCCCGCGTTTCTTGTCAGGTCTTTGCGAAGTTGTTCATCGCGGCACTCGAGGAGCTGGATTACCTTTTCTTTGCCGGTGACATTAGTTGCCGCAACATAATCGCCCCAACGCGTTAGAAAATACGACCAATCCTCACTCGATCCCGCTGCCGAAATTATCGGAGGCGTACTCTTTCGAGTTTCGTGTTACTGTTGGGGTTGATCGTGTTCACTGTTCCTGGAGTGACATGTACTCCCGAAGAGTGCACTGATAGGAGGACGGCCGCGAGCGCGTCTGTAACTTCCTCTGTCTCGTAGGTGCATTCGGGGAATGGGCATTTGTATTTCTTCGACATTGCGTACTATTGTAGTCCGGGAAGAAAACAAAGATGGCGGTCGATCGGCGATCGATGGCCGCGTTCGACGTATTACTGGGTAGTCCGCTTACAACCGGTGTCTCGTTCGCCAGATCAATCCGTGTTGAAGTATGTTTCTATCATAGATAAGACTTTGTCTATTTCATCGAGAGATTTATCCTAGAAAGGCGAGCATCCTCGTAAGAGGATGATAGAAACATGTGCAAAGTACAGCTTGTTACAAGTGGCTCGCGCCAGGCACCTATCGGGCAAATCATAACTAGTGTCCAGATCTCTCATCTAATGTTGCGTTGTGCTCTAAAGATGAATGACTTGCATACCAACGTACTAGGGTTTAATGAAAGGACTGCATTTCTCTTAAGTACCAACGTACTAGTGTACAAACATGGTATGGTATACTCATCTTAGTTGGCATGTATCTAAAATTTGTGTAAATATCAACCAAGCGGTCTGTGAACTTGTAAACATTGCCCTCTACACTGAACTTTTCTCCTGGAATCAGAGATTTTTTACTTAAGGAGAGCCTTATGAGGGCCACTTCTTATTCATTTGGGAATCCTCAAATTTTTGTTTATGGCTCCCATGGGAAAAAAAGAATCAGACATTTGTATATAAATATTTGTAGATATGTATAAATGTCATACAACAGAGAAAAAAGAGGTCATGTTATTTTCTTTTGGTCATTTGTTTCTCTTGGCTAATGCCTTGGTTAACAGCAACTCTTGCACATTTTCTTTGCATTCCAAACTTTCTGAGTGCTTCATAGTTTTCAATGATTACACGTTAATGCAGGAACTTGTTGCTAAATTATGGCTTGTGACTGGCTGTATAGCACACTCGCATAGTGGTATAGCCCACTCATACACCAGAAAACCAACCAGAGAGCAGTATTTTGTACTAGGTGGTACGAAGACCAATCATAGGATGATTGAGGAACTTTTTCTATGCTTGACATACCACATTTGTTCCTTCTTCTTGAGGTATATATGTGTACACGTTAGAACCTAGAATTGTATCTTTACCTATCTTTGTTTTTTCTAAGACATTGTAAAAGTAGTGGTATCCTTTGCATGGGATTGTTGCAATCACACAATGAGGTGAAGTAGTGTCTCCACAAAAGATGATATTCTCTCAGAAGGGCAGTCACAACCAGTATAGGTTTCTGTATTTTTGTGAGCGTATAGAATATTGGTATTCTGGGCAGATTGGGTGTTTCTGAAAGTCATTTCTTAATCATTTCATAAATGTGTTTGCCTCAATGCATTTGGTCAATATTCTTATTACTCCTTTCCTGCATGTTTTTTTACTATCAGTGCTCTGAGAGCTGTAGTGAACTGTGTTGTTAAGTTGCACTATTGCCTCTTTTTTTGTGGTCATATTCAAGATGACTTTTGTTATACCGCTGTCTGCTTTTTTTTTGGTTTTTGAGCAGATTCAACTCTTTTAGACTCAACTCTTTTGTAAGAATCTTAATTTTAACACATTAAGAACTTCAAATGTTCTTGACAAGATTGATCAAGTTTATTTTAGTACATTCTTGAGTAACTTGAAATGCATACCCTATTCTGTCAATAAAAGAGCATGATGCATATGGCTTGAAACCTAGCACACATGGTATAAAAATAACCCTACCTCCAAAATGGAATAATGGTATTAATTGATTAAATCTGTACAGACGTTTCAGATTACGTGTGATGATTGAGTATAAAATACACCGAAAAGTTAGTTTAAAGTAATTACTAATTGTGTTCATAGGAAGTGTCTAGAAAGGTGATGAAACCTTTCCCATTCTTGCCTTGAACTTAAAGACGCCTATTGACAATGTCACCACGTTTAACAAGCAAAAGACTTTCGCTGTCATGAACCTGGAGAAAATGATGTCCAATTAAGTTGCAATAAACAGTTTCCTTCAGGATTACATCCTGTGGTGGAGGAAAGTCTTGGCAAACGTGTTGCAGAATTCTTATAACCCTGCCTGCTGGTTCAAACAAATCAGGAAGACTGTATCTTTCGATGTAACAACACGATTTAATCCAAACAACCAATCTATTGTGATATACAATTCTCACATATTCAATGGTTGTAACACAATGATCAACGATCAACTAACACATTTTTAAGTATAAAAAGGTTTTTTCTACTATCCTTGCATAAGGCAGTATTTTTACATTAATTACATGTACAGTAAAAGTTCCCATTGTAATTTGTCTAAATTAAGTGACTATTACAAAAGTGCACATTCTTTCACCTTTATTAGCCTAAGAAAATGCATGCAGTTACATCATTTTATATCATGAATATATGCAGACCTTGTCTACATTATTGTGAAGTCTAATGTCACAAAATCTAACCTCTTTGCGGTAAAAATGTCAATTTCTAATTAATATTTAATCACAAAATAATCAAGTCAAGCATCACCTATTTCTTTCTGTCATGTATTACTTAAGAACTACACACCCCAAACAATATGGCGGTTCGGCAAGTAAAAGACTGTTTAATGAAGCCTCATGCGTGTGCATGAGCAAACCATATATGGTAACACACAACATACAACACACTGGAAAACCATAACATTCCTCCACACATAAAACGATCTGTCCCTAGCTTTCAAAACAAGCCCTAAAATACAATTTCAAGGAAAACATAAAATAAACCAACAGTGTCCGGTAACCACAGTTTGAAAGGTAAGAACGACCTTTAAACAAGAAAACGAACAGAATAAAACAAAGTTCAGAGATCAAGCCTCTGTGGTGCCCTGCGAACTCTCTGAGGGTGTTGTCGCATTTTGACCATCGGACTAACTGTAGCTGGTTTAGCATCAGGAGGGTCAGGTACCGTAGGTGTGGAAACAGGAACCATCTTTGGTTGATCTTTTTGGAACCTCCTGGAGCTGTGCCGCCGCCTCAGTGGTTGGAGTACTTGATGTAATTGGGGTCAGTGGTGTGTTGGCCATTTCAGGTTGGCTGACTTCAACACTACAGTCGGCGTCAGTGCTTTCAACTGTGTGTCCAACTGCCGTTGGTCTCAACTGATCAATATGTCGGCGCCAGGTCAGTCCCGGTGCCACCTGTACCTCATACATCAGCGGACCTGTTTTGTTAACAATCAGCCCTGGACGCCACTTCAGATCCCCTCGATAATCCCGTGACATAACTGAGTCACCAATCTCTAACTGGCGATACTGTTTACCCTTGTCAATCGCTGCCTTAATGCTCTGCTGGTGTTGTTGGTTAACCATCTTACGGTTTAAGTTAGGTTTCACCAAATCTAGGAGAGTACGCAATGGTCTTCCCAGGAGTAACTGTGCTGGGCTCTCACCGGTGGTGGAGTGTGGAGTGTGGAGTGTTCCTGTAAGCTATGAGAAACTTCGCCAACTTCTCCCTCACTGGCTTGGGGCTTTGACGCATGGAACGCAAAGCATGTTTGAAGGTCTGTACTGTCCTTTCCGCAAGACCATTCGTCGCTGGATGGTACGGTGCTGAAGTTATATGGCGGATGCCATTGGACTTGACAAATGTCTGGAATTCCTCCGAAACAAACTGTGTACCATTGTCACTGACTATCTGTTCTGGAATTCCGAATCTGGCGAACAAATCGCGTAGAATTTCGATAGTCGAACTTGAAGAAGTTGACTTGACTGGAACCACTTCTGGCCACTTGGTGTGTGCGTCGACAAACCACTAAGAACATCGAGTTCTGAAATGGCCCTGCGTGAGTCGATGTGTATACGCTGCCATGGTGTAGTGGCCCACCCCACGGATGTAGTGGTGTTTTAGCAGGCATCTTCTGATTTTGCTGACACCCGCTGCAGCCTTTCGCTAGCTCTTCCAGATGACCATTGATATTAGGCCACCATACGTAGCTCCTCGCGAGTGCTTTCATTTTGACCATGCCCAGATGCCCATTATGAAGTTCCTCTAACACTCTGCTTTGTAACTTATTGGGAACGACCACTCTCATTCCCCATAGGATGCAGCCTTGGTGAACTGTCAGTTCATTGCGTCGCTCGTAATAAGGCTTGTCTCCCTCCACACGAGTAGACCATCCTTTCACGATAGAATCATGTATCCTCGCTAGGACAACGTCACGACGTGTTTCTCTTGCCACTGCTTCACTGGTTATAGGTAATGGCACAAACTGAGAGGCGTGGAACACCTCTGTTGAATCCACCTCCAAGTCTTCTCGCTCTTTCTGCTGGAGAGGGAGCCGCGACAGTCCAGCGGCATTGCAGTGTTTGGTTGTACTCTTATACTCAATGATATAGTCGAACCCAGACAAGAACAATGCATATCGCTGAAGCCTTGCAGCAGTCATGGCTGGAACTCCCTTTTCTGGGTGGAAGATGGCAGTGAGGGGCTTGTGGTCTGTAATGAGCGTAAATCGTCTCCCATAGAGGTAAACATGAAATCGTTTCACCCCCCACACAATGGACAATGCCTCCTTGTCTATCTGTGCAAACCGTCGTTCCGTCTTGGTCAACGATCGGGACGCAAAAGCTACCGGCCTTTTCGCTACCATCGGACATGACGTGTGAAAAGAACCGCGCCCGATGCCAGTTGGTGAAGCATCACATGCCAGCCTAACCGGTAATGCTGGGTCATAGTGCGTTAGCACCTGCTCAGATGTAATCATACGCTTTAGCCTCAGTGAATGCTCGCTCGCACCGTTCAGTCCACTGCCATTCGTTGTTTTGCTCTAACAACTGGTGAAGTGGGTGGAGAACTGTAGACGCATTGGGCAAGAAACGGTTGTAATAGTTTACGAGCCCTAAAAATGAGCGAAGCTGTGACACATTCTCAGGTCTTGGTGCACTGACCACTGCTTCAATCTTCTCTTGTGTCTTGTGTAGACCTTCCTTATCGATCTCATGCCCACAAAACTGAACTCTATCTTTGAAGAACTCGCACTTTTCCTTGTTAGCCTTCAGACCCGCAACTTGTAATCGCTTGAGTACACTCTCCAGGTTCTCCAAATGTTCTTCATCGGTTTTACCTGTGACAATCATGTCATCAAGGATGCACTGGGTCCCAGGTATTCCCTGTAATACCTGGTCTATTGCACGCTGCCAAATGGCTGGAGACGAAGAGATGCCAAAGACTAAGCGATTGTATCGAAAAAAAAGGCCCTTGTGTGTATTAATCGTAAGGAGTTCCTTGGATCTTTCGGTTACTTCCATCTGGTGATAAGCTTGGCGAAGGTCAAGCTTGCTGAAATGTCTACCGCCAGCCAAATTTGCAAAAATATCCTCTATACGTGGCAGAGGGTACTGTTCTGCAAGAAGTACTGGGTTCACTGAGACCTTAAAATCGCCACAAACTCGTACCGATCCGTTTCGCTTGACTACCGGGACAATTGGGGTCGCCCATTCACTGTATTCTACTTTAGAGAGAATACCTTCCTTCTCTAAGCGTGTCAATTCTGCTTCTACTTTGGGGCGGAGTGCGTATGGCACTTGGCGTGGTTTATGAAAGCTGGACTGGCAGCCTTCCTCGACCTTCAAATCCACCTTGTAGCCTTTAAGTGTGCCCAGATTTTCGGAGAAAACAGACTCGTACTTCTGTAGTAGCTGATCCACTTTATGCCATACCCCCTTCTGAAGTCTTGCTAAGCTTAAAGGTTTTGATTTCACCCCAGTTCGGTTGAATGTTGGACAGCCAGTCACGCCCAAACAGTGCTGGTCCCTGCGTCTCAACAACTTGTAGGTTTAACTCTTTTTCCTGGCCCTTGAACTTAACATTACATCTCATCTCTCCCTTAGGTGTGATTTTCTGCCCAGTGTATGTCTTAAGTGTCACAAAGCTCTTTGAAAGTTTGACATGATTAAAATGTTCCTTATATTGTTTATATGGAAGTACAGACACCGCTGACCCTGTGTCTAGTTCCATCTTGACCACCTTTCCCTGTATTTCGGGGTTGACCCATATTACGTGATCCTTGTCACCCACATTATTAACCTCAAGGGATGCCAAATAATCATCGCTGTCCCGTCATCGCTGTCTACATAATTTACTGGGGTTGGGAAACTTGTGTCTCTTTTTTTTTTTGATTTACAAGCCCTCACAATGTGACCAGTCTTGTTACAGTGGTGGCATTTTTCTTTCTTGAATGGACAACTTTTGTGATCATGAATTCCCAAACAGCGGTAGCAACTTTGATCACCCGTTCTCTTGGGGAAAAAGAACCCTTTTTCTCTGAAAGCTTGGCTTCTCTCTTGAATTTAAGCTTCTTGCCTGGCTTTGATTTGGCTAATAGATCGATTGATTCTGACGCTTTATTCCCTGAAGAGCTTCAACATCCTTGTAAGATTGCTCAATAGCTAAGCACTTTGCAACAGCAATGTCAAATGTTAGTTCCTCAAGCTTAAGTTTCAAAAGCTCTGACATCATTCTCTTATCTCGAATACCCGAAACCAGTCTATCTCTAAGCCTTTCCAAACGCATGGCGTCGTTAAATTTGCAATCCATAGCTAGATGTTTCAAAACAGCAACATATTGACTCACCGTTTCTCCTGCGTTACGTGCTCGGTTGTCAAACTCATACCTGGCTACTAAACAGACTTCTGTGGCTTCAATTGTTCGCGGAGACGCTCTACGATTGCGTTGTACGTGAGAGAATCTTCTCCTAACAAGGTCGAAGCCATCAAATCTTTCGCCAGTTGGTACGTTTCAGTGGGAAGATTGGTTAACAGGATGGCTTTCTTCTGTTTCGCGTCGGTCACTCTATTGGCCACGAAGAAGAATCCTAACTGTTCTGTATACGCCTCGAAGTCAGTTCCCACAGTGAACCTTTGAACTTTTCCGATGTTACGAACTGGATTTGGTGCCGTATTGCATCGCTGGCCATCATGGACGTTATGTGGATTTAGTTTAGGGATGTCTTCACTTTTAGCAGCCCAAAAAGTCCCTTAATATCCCATCCTCGTCGCCAAAATTGTCATGTATTACTTAAGAACTACACACCCCAAACAATATGGCGGTTCGGCAAGTAAAAGACTGTTTAATGAAGCCTCATGCGTGCGCATGAGCAAACCATATATGGTAACACACAACATACAACACACTGGAAAACCATAACACTTTCCCAATTAAACATTCCATCCAGGTTTATGCAGCAGGATTCCCCCTCTGAACACTAGGCCTTTCACCAAGTAGATGTTTTGCAAACCTAGCAGCACCGGGTGTGGATTTGTAATCCTGTGAAACATGCACCCTGTAGGTTTGGCATACTCCTAGTTTCTCCACCATATGCTGAGGAATCCCCTTGCTCCAGAGTACAGATTTTTAACTTGAGTAATGAACATGGCATTCCAGCAAAGAGGGCAAACAAACAAAATTCTGATGCTTTCCAGTGCTTTGATTTAGCAATACTATATGGCTTTCTGGTCAAGTCATGGGGCACTTTGATACAAAGAAACAAATTGTATAGCTCATGACTAATTCCTAGCAAACTGTATGAATCTGTAACATGCTGAGGATCAAACCATGGTGCGAATAGTAGTACTGGTTGATATTAAAAAACAAGGCTTTGGCAGGTAGGTCTGGTACAACAGATCAGATTCTGCACACTGGTGACACAAGTACACCTGTTTCATTGTTAAAACTACTACCATTTGCTAAATTGAACAATTCACTGCTAAAATGTTTCACAAATAGTGGCACATTTGGTTTAGAGTAAGGATGGTTGGTCACAGGGATGGCTGGTCACAGGGTACATCTTTGCTTAATGAGATATTTATTGACTTTTTTGCTTGAAGCATGTACATTTTTGTACAATTTTTGGGATTTTCAGGTTATCAGCTCCTCTACCCTTAAACCCCCAATTTAAGAGTACTGTTCACTTGGCGCAGAAGTTACATAACTTTGTGAATATTTGATGCTTGTAAGGTTGATGAAATGAGGCTACAGATCAAACCAGTCAAAAGCTTGGGAGAGGTAACAGTGATCTTTACAGTTTTAACTCTGTACAGTACGTCCAACTTTGGACTTTCCATTAATGTAAATTTTACATTTTGCTCCAACCTTGAAGCAGTCTTTAAATCTGTGGTATTATAAGTACTGCAAAACCTTAGAGGCTCAACTTTCACTTCTTCATCTCCACAATCACTGTTTATGCACAAGTCTTTTTCCGCTTTTTTGTGAAATGTTAGGCAGAGTTCTATAAGCTTAAAAGGAAGTAAACACTTGTCGTGTCTTTTGTTAAATTTGTAGTATGACGTTGCAACACTGTTGTTGACTAGCA